CAGAGAGGCATGGGACTCAGCAGGAGCCCTGAATTGGTTTATTTGCCTTTGTGATGGACAGGTTCCTCTGATTTTCTTGACAGCTCTTTGATCGCCATGCATGTCCTCAGGCTGGAGTTTGGGTTAGGCTCTGCTCTTTGCCCTCCCTGTTACAAGTAGGGCTTCTCCATAGGCCCAGCCCCACTGCACTCTTCTCATCCAGACAGCATCCCTCCAATGGGACACAAAGTGTGAGTGAGTGCCAAGTTTTACATGGAATAGCAACGTCACCAAGTGGGAAAACATCAACACAGTGAAAGCATGACTTGAGAAAACCATCCTCTTTTTCACCTCCTAGGACAGGAAGGTCAAACAGGATCTGGGAGCTATTTAAACATCTTCCTACCAAAGCCCACCACCACATAAGACATGGGCAGCCATGCTCAATGGGTGGCCAAAACAAGCCAACCCTTCCCAGTATGTTCAAGGGATTGGGATGCCAGGGTGTAGGGGCTGGCAGGGGGCTGCAGAGAGCTCTGGGTTGATATCTCTCGTAACAAATTTACAGATTCAAGCTGTCCCCAGCTGCTTGGACTGTGTGCCCATGTCCTGGATGATTTGGTCTAGGCCAGTCAACCCTCTCCTCCCATGTGCAAGGGATGGCCCCAGTGTGGATTAGGTCCCCTGGCTTGGGTGTATGACCTTAGGGGTTGAGCTGTGTCTTGCCACTTAGCTTCATGGACAGAGAAGAGGCCATAGCCCCGTTTCAGATGCTGTAGGGCTCTAGGCAATACCTTTGGCCCTTTCCCTCCCATGGAGTAGTCTGCACAGCCCCAGCAGCACAGGGTATCAGGGTAAACTGAGGGGAAGAGATGTCTCTAGTCCCACCCCCTGCTCCAAGCAGGGTCAGCTATGGGGTTGATCCAGCTTGGTCTGGAAAAGCTCCAAGGATGGAGGTGGCAGCTTGTGGGACAATCCTGTGAAGCGATGGAGCTCCTGCTCAGGGGAGCCCCAGAGCAAGGTGTCTCTCAGCACGTCTGAGTCCCCACCACATTTCTGGTCAGCCTTCTCCTGTCTGGTTCAGAGATGGGTACATGGACCAGGGCTCCTTGGAAGCCTGATGTCTGAGGAATCATGTTGCTGGGTAGCATGACCCCCTTGAGAGTGAAGTGCTCTGGGTAAGTCCCAAGAGGAGTGGGAGGTCCCTTCCCACTGATGCATGGCTTTTACCAAGCAAAGCCCCACTGCACAACTCATGAAACTTCTCTATACATCTGACTCAAGACTCTTGCCAAAGGAGCACATGGTGAGGAGCAAGACTCAAATGTTGCTGGCAAATCTCTCCCACTTTCCTTCCAACCTCACGTTCCCTCATATACAACCCTCATCAGTGGCTGGTGGCCCTGGGTCCAAATCCATCCCAGTTAGCCCCCAGTCAACCCAATTCTTTGCCACCTTTAGGTTCTAGCTCCGTATTTGGCCCCATCTGCCAGACCCTCAGCTTTGCCCTGGTCCAATCTGCACTCACACATATTTTCTTTCTCCAACTTGACATTAAGACTAAGCCTGGCATCCATTTAGAGCTGGAAATGTGTTTCCCACAGAACACTCAAATGTCAGTTCAGAGCAAATCTGCTCCAAGGCAGCTCACACGTCTCACCAGAGAGAGGAACCATGAGCAGCAGTCGCACCCTCACAGCAAAGGACACACACTTTTGGAGCCTTCTGCCTTTAAAACCATCAGATTAGTCACGTTAAAGCATGAGGAGAGCTTTGAGCTACGGTCCTGGTACTTCATGAAACAAAATATTGAGGCCATGTCTTGTTCCACAGACAACACTTCTCCATGAGCATGCACATGGGACCGAAGAGCTGAAGAGCAGCTTCTGACGTGAAGACTCAAGCCATCTCAACTGAAATTAAAATGAATCATTTACAATGTTCTCAACTTCCTAAAATACCTATTTCTCACAAAAGAGTCAGTCATACTTGAGCATCCAAGTGTGGAGTGGATGTGATAAACTCATTGCCTTCAGGACAAAGTTCTTGGCAGCCCATGTAATTAAACCAGCTGCTTTTCAATATGGTTTAAGACTAAATACTGCACAAATATTAATCATCAGGGACTGCTGTAATCAGCTCAACAACCGTCAGGAATGACTGTTTCCACTGGAGCCATTGATTACTTAATGGCTTTCAGGAAGAGTTGACATAGTCATGTCTATATGGCCATGAATAAAGTCTATGGGCTGCTACTTAGTTTGGAGAGGCCAGTTGGTTGGTGCCTAACAGGGAAAAAAAAAGGACTGTTTATGGGAAGACACAGGCCTCCCTGCAAAGCAGAGAGGGGCCAGCAACCAGCAGTCACAAACTGCAGCAGCAGATGCTTCTTTTGGGCTGTTTTGGTCCTTGACCTACCAAATGCCAAGGGCCAGTTACTTGGGTTACTCATGAAAGCAAATAATCCAAACAGGGGCTCTGACTCTGGGGAAAGAGCCATCCCAGGCCAGTGCTTGCCCCATGAGCAAATACAGACATTTGTAGGATGTGGAAAAAAAGGAGTAGTTTCTTTTTAGAGGGCTCTTCTAATTTTAATGAATGTTTTGGATGAAATGTGGGAGTGGGCACTGGATGCTCCTAGTCCCAGCACAGGACATGGACTCAGCAACGTGCATCCCAATCTGTTGTGTGGTCTCTCAAGCCACTACACCATCAGAAATGACTACTGCTGGGTACTTCTGGCACTTGTTGAGCTCCCCATCTCCTGCATGGAGGAAAAAACATGGGCTATGATTTGATTTCTCCAGGCTTTTGGTCCAGTTCAAGATTATTTTTAGCCTAGAGAGCTGCATCTCAAGAATAGTTGCACTGAAACAGATCCCAAGCAGCATAAAGAGCTATTCCCCAAACTGCCACTGCAATCCAGTCCCGAGGTGGCCACATTTTAGTGTTAGAGGAGGAGAACAGCACAATTTTGGCAGGGAAATACATTCAGTGTGCACAGTAACCCTTCTGCCCAACCTCATCTTCCTTTGTGTCTGCCTGACAGTTAGAGATCGAGACAGGGAAAAATCAGCTTTTTGGTGGGGATGTGGAGCTCGCTCCCAGCTGGGGGAACTCACACTCCAGTGGGCTCTGGGTCAGGCTCAGCATTTGGTCTCCCTTGAGGTGCAGTGGTGAAAGGGGCTAGAGAAATACGAGGCACTGTACTCTGGTCCTCACGTCATTACCTCACCATGCAAGTGTGCGAGCCCCCAAGGAGAGACAAAGGCTGTAAGACACTCTCCGATGTTCAGAAAGCATCTGGCTGTGCTAAATCTTCCCCTCTGGGTCTTTTTTTTTTTTTATTTATTTCTCTCCTAGATGATTATTATTCTCACCGTGAGCATTAGGAGATTTGCATTATTCCTCTACGTGGCCAACACTTCAATGTCTTAAAAGGGTTGTCAGAGCTTTTCCATTAATATCTTTCTCTTTCATGGCATGCAAGGAGACACTTGCAAACTGGTGTTGGACATTCAAGATGTATTTCACCAGCATACAACCCTTTGGGGACTGGTATCCTCCCACTGTGTGGGTCGCATCTGGCCCTTTCCAAACTCAGGCCAAGATGAAACAAATGTGCTAATGCTCAAGCACCAATAATCAGTAGAACTTGGTGATGTCAGTGGAACACAGAGCCCGTGGTGCTGGGAGGAGCTCAGCTTGCAGAAAGAATAGCTCCAGCTTTTTAATAAATATTATTACCTAATCTTTCCAATGTCTCCTTCGTTGGGCTCTCGGTTTGGGGTTGGCCTGTTTACTCCTGTCAGCGCCTGCTCTCTGGCGATCAGGCTGCTCCGTGGCAATCATGAGTCTTTCCTGTTTTCATGAGATCATGAGTTATTATCTCTGCAATAAATTGTCTCTTCCTTTTTGGCTCTATGCACCCGGCAGCTGCCTAGGGAGCAACCCCAAAGCCTGGATGTGTCAAGGATACTGGCCAGAGGCAGCAGCAGATTCCCACCCAGAGTTAGAGCCTAGGGTTGTCAATGTCAACAAACCCCATTTCTGTGTTGAAGAAACTTTGCTGAAGATGGGGAGGGGATATCTAGTCCAGCCCTTTGCATCCACCACAAACCAACCCTAACGCTACATCAAAGCTAATACTGGAACACCTTGCCCTGACTCTCCTGACCAGCTTCTTCCCAAGCCTAGGTCCTCACCATTAACCAACATTTCAATTACCCCACTCCTTTCCTCCAAGATACACCCCACCAGACTTCCTCACCCAAGACCAACCTCTGCAATAAAGCATTCACTTTCTCCCAGCCTCTCAACAGCTTTCCACTCCCTCCTTGTCACTCATACTCCCACCAGTACAGATATACAGGGTCTCCAGAGCCTCCCTGTGCCCCTCGTGCTCAACCACAGAGCTTCTCATGGCAGCCACAAGTGCAGGACTCTCACTTGATGGGCTTCTTTTGATTCCACAAAGGGCAGATTTCTGTTCTTAGGGCCAGATTCACAGGCAATCGGTTTCACATAGGCAATGGGTCAGGGCTTAAATTCTGTCATCCAAAGCCCATTGACTTAGAGACATGCTGGGGAGCATCAACAGCAGAAGACAACCCAATAAATTTGGTTATTTTACACATGCATGCATTGTGTGAGCATGTGCTGGCTTATACTTGTGATGGGGCACGTCCTGGGCTTCTAAGTCAGCTCAATGGAACAGTCTGGTTGTTCTTCAAGCTCCTCAAGGTTAACAACCACAATCAAAGCCACAGGGGCCGTCCCACCAGAAGGAGAATACTCCTCAGAGGTTTTGAACATCACAAGCATCAAGCGTCAAGAGATGGGACAACGGAAGTGATTTGAAAAGGAATGGTCCTTCCTTAGTTTTGAAACTGGGAGGAGGCAGAGAAGAGGGCAACCACATCAGAGCTGTAGAATGATGCCCCGTGAGAGATGCTGCAAACCTGCCTGGCATGGCTTGGGGGTAGGGTGTGGAAGAAGATGGGGAGAGATGATGCAGTGTTAGCAGGTACAAGGTGGCTTTCACAGCTGTAAGCAAAAGATGTGTAGGGTGAAACCTGGTATTGCTAAGTCAAGGTTCCTGGATGATGCATCCAGCAGCTCAAGCACAAACCTAGCCACCAAACACAGTTGGTCTTTATCCCTGGCAGACAAGATCTGCCAAGTCTTCCCCTGAAATTAAGTTTCTTTTTATCTTAAAAAAAATAAAATAGGAAGCCCCCCTCCCCTCTGCCGACAAGTCTTAGAGGTGGAGCTGGCAGCCCCCACCAGGACTTCTGCCCGTTTCGCTGCCTGGCCCAGGCTCTACTGCTTGGTGCTCTTGGTGGGCTCCGAGGACTGCCGCACGTCTGTCCACTCCTGCATGGTGCTCTGCAGCGCCTGTGTCTTCTCCTTGTCCACTTGCACGTAATCGACCTTCTCATCTGAGGCGACCGATGAGGTGGAGGGCTGTGGGGAGGAGAAACACGGCCACCGCCTGGTCACTCCTCAGATCCTCCTCTCCCATCTCTTTTTATTATTTATTTTTTTGGGGGGGGGTGCTGCAAGTCCACCAGCAGCTCCCCTGCCTTCCTGCAGCCTCCACAGCTTACCACCCTCCCTCTAACCTCCCAATGGGTCCTGGATGAAGGACGTCAGTCTGCTCTGCATCATACCTGCATGAGACCGCAGTGCAATCGGAGAGGAAAAGCAGCACCTGGGTGCCTACACAGAATCAGCCCCAGCATGGTGGGGTTAGAAGGGACCTCTGGAGATCATCTCATCCAACGCTCCTGCTACAGCAGGGTCACCCAAAGCAGGGTGCCCGGGGTCACATCCAGTTGGATTTGGAATCTCTCCAGAGCAGATGACTCCACAACCTCTCTGGGGAGCCTGCTCCAGGTTCTGCCACCCTCACAGCAAAGAAGTCTTTTCCTTATCTTTAGGTGGAACTTTTTGGGTTCTGGTTTATGCCCATTGACCCTTGTCCTGTCACTGGGCACCACTGAGAAGAACCTGGCCCCATCCTCTTGACCCCCACCCTTTAGATAATGATAAGCACTGATGAGATCCTCTCTCAGTCTTCTCTTCTCCAGGCTTAACAACCCCAGGGCTCTCAACCTTTCCTGGGCACAGAGATGCTCCAGGGAGTTCCCTCAACACCTTTGTTGCCTCTGCTGGACCCTCTTCAGTAGTTTCTTGTCTCTCTTGAACTGGAGAGCCAAGAACTGGACACAATACTCCAGAGGTGGCCCCACTAGGGCAGAGTAGGGGGGAGGAGAACCTCCCTCAACCTGGGGACACACTCTTCTTCATGCACCCTTCATGCCAACTTTAGGACATGAATGTCTGTTTGCAAATGTGTTATCTAACTGCTGATATTGCAAATTCTGTCTTGCTTCTTGCTCATTTTCTTGTAAAGAATTCAAGAACTCTTCTATATTAAAATCCCACCTCATCCCTCTTAGCTGTGCTGACTATACACACCTATAGCACTAGATCTTTGTCATCCCCAAAACAACAGAAGTGCTTGTCAGGTTCACCCAGGAGCCCTTTTGAGGAAGAAGGAGATACTTTTTTTATCTCTGTAGTTTCTTGAGTCCTGGAACTTCGTCTGCCCCTACGAGCATTTCAGAGGACCCCCAGCTGCTTGCAGTTGGAACCAGATGATGACTTTCAATGGTCTAAAATAATCTTTCCAGTCTAGGATAGAATCCCAATTGGTAATATTTTCAGAAATATTGCTGGGCAGAAAGAAACAATCAAGGGACAACTGTTAAGTAACAAGAAGACCTAACCAGTGGGATGCTTTGCCTAGCGAACAAGGTGGTGTTTGAGAAAGTCAATGCCAACTCACAGGAGGTTCCCACAAAGGTTTATATGATGCCTTGTCCTTCACTGTCCCCTTGCTCAGGGGCTGCTTTGCTTGAGCCAGTGTCTCCTTCCCCCTCCCAGCTGGCTCAGGGTGGGACCCTGCAGGACCTGCATTTTATCTCTTCCCAGCCCACTTTGTCACCCCTGTGTGTCCTCCTCATCTTGGTAGGTGGCCTTGCTGGGAAGGTTGTGAAATCTCCATCTTATGAGACTTTTAAGCCTTGTCTGCCACCCCAGGAGAGACAGCTTCCTTTGGATGGGGGGATGTCCTGAGGTCCTCTCTTGCCCTATCCTCCTATGTTTGCTTCAAGATGGTGTTTGTTTCTCTGGTATATGAACCTGGAGAAAAATCACCAACATCTGGGTCTTTAGGAGCTTCATTTTCCACATGATGCTTGGCAGAGGTATCCCATTCTCAATCTGTCTTCTCCCTGCAGCTGTTTCTCACCAGGCAATGGCTTGATCAGATCAACATATTCCAGACTTTAAACATCAGTTTCAGTTTTTGAAAGCATTTTGTACTTTTCCTGCCCAACTATCCCCCTTTGAAAGCACCTGACTGGCAGGAGACGCATGCCCAGCATTTTCTGAATGAGCTCCTGGTAGTATCTCAGGTGGAAACCCCAAGTCTGGTTTGGAGGATCTGTTGTTCTGAAGGAGGAAAAAACTTTCTGATACCTCTTGAGATACCTCCCAGCAGCTTTTGAATACACAACCTCCACCAGAATTTCTGGTTCAGCACAAAGTTAACAATTTCCAGCTACATTTCTGGTCTCATTATCATCCCTAAAGCCCTGCACATCCATGCTTGTGGTAACACTTCCAGCAGGGCTGCAGACATGCAAGAGAGACCCAGCCTGACCTAGAATAACTATAGCAGCAGATCTACAGGAAAAACCATGCCTCTGAGCCTACTGTGCCATTCACCAGACCTGCCCAGGGCTTTGACCATGCTGTTGCAAAATGCATAAAACCCCACAAAAAAAAGGCATCACTTTTAATCAGAAGTTTATCAACCCCCCTGTACCTTTCTGTGTGGCCCTGGTGAGCTTGGCTGGAAGTCCAGGGCCAAATAATCCACACTCCCCGAACTCTTTTTAGGCGCTGGGCTGTTGGTGCCACTAGGAACAGGAGAAGCAGAAATGGGGTTTTGCTAATGCAGGGAAGAGACAGGAGAGACAACGAGGATTAAAATGGGAAGAAGCGGGGGGGGGAAACAGGAATTAACACAAATCTGGTAACAAAATGCCTCAGTGGCACTTTTAAAAGAGGTTCCAGCCTGGATATTTGCTTCCCTGCCTCTCTGGGACCAGGGTTTGCAGAACCATTGGGGAATTCTGTATGTTATGTACTGTGCTAACAAATATTTCAAGCTCATGCTCTTGAGTTCATGTGTCACAGCAGTTCTGCTGCCTTTGTGCTGATTTTATTCACATGCCTGACATCAGCATTTCCCAGGAACCACACCTCAGCGAGGCCAGAGCAGCTCTGGGATCTTCACTAATCACAACGTCTCTACACAGAGCACAGATTTCCTCTACCCCTGAGTTACACAGCCTCAGAAATATGCCTCAAGTCAACAGCTTTGCAAAGAGAGACCAAATCCCCTCCCTGTAAGCAGTGCCACTCCCTGCTGCTGCTCTGATAGCCTCTGCCCTCCACACAAGCATGAGGTCAGCAGTTATTAGGGAAAAAAAAAAAAAACTGAAAAAAAATCAGCTTAAATTAGGAAGATGGACTGTGGCAGTTGAGAGACATTTTTATCCCCTCTTAATTCCTGCCAGAATAGGTGAGATGTGTTTCTGCTCTCATATACAGTTAAACCCCCCCTGGGATGTGGAATTTTAGGAACCAAAGCCACCATTCTGTGCATGTAGGGATGTACACCACAGTCATCATGGTGCTATCTGAGCACTTCCATGTCATCAGCTAGGAACGTGTCTGCAGAGCTGGGGGACGTGTACATCCTGCCAGGACCACGTGTCTTAGCTGGGGGACCCTTACCATTGCCACGTAGTTCTCCTCGCTGTCTCCCGAGTCAGTGCTGGTGATGCTCTGGGAGGAGACAGGGCGACAGTACTGCAAAGAGCCAGCGTTGAAGGTCTGGCTGTAAGGACAAGGATCAATGGGTTAATGGTGGTTGCAGGTGCTGCTTGTCTTTTGTCAAGGAGGATGGGAGAAGGCAGCACCTGATGCCTCTGAACATCACCATGGTCACCATCACCATGGGGACTGGGCATGAAGAAGGGCTGGTGGCATTGAGGTTCTCCTAACCCGACCTTCCCATGGTTCGGAAATCGCTGGGTTTGGTCTTCTTGTTTATTTTTTTTCTAGGACTTTTTAATAATACCTTGCTTGCTACGTGCCCATAACTCTTGCTACCAGCTACATAAATCAGCCTCCATGAATTCTTTTATCTTACAGGAAGCATTCAATCGTGGAGGATTCAGGACCAGCCTTGGTGGAGCTTGTCACCTCCAGCCTCACCACAGCTCCAGGATTTGTTTACCGAGCAGGGCCCTCTGTGAATTTTTTTGCTGGAAAACCAAACCTCCAAGGCATTGTCCTGCTTTCAATTGGCCAAATCTCATTACACAGAAAAACATAATGCAATCAGAGTCTGGCATTAAAGCTTGTGTCTTAAAAAGCCATTTATTGCCTTGCAGTAGAGGCAGGGTCATCTGATGAGCTGATAAAGGAAAAAATCCATGAGTTTCTCCAGGGTTGGATGGCTTGTCAATCAAACCCACTCGCTGGTTCCTGGTGCAGTGATTTCAGCACGCAGAGCTCGTGCCCTGCAGCCAGGCTCCACACAATCCAATTTATTAGAGGAGTCACAGCAGCCAAGCTTTGCTTCTGCCTTTCACAGGACAACATCAGACCACGAACAAGCAGCAGAGCTGGAATTGTGTGGATCCTGTTATTTTTGGCCAGCAGACTTTGCTCTGAAGTGCTTTGGTTTCATTTTGCAGGCTTCCTTCAGGCTGGGCTTTGCTTTCAAGGCAATCAAAACACAGCTCGGGTGACCCCTGCGAGTGTCACCCTGTGTTTTGAGCCTACAGCACGAGTTTTTGGGGCAGAGCTGGGTGTGAAATCAGGCCCTTTACCCCCAGTGGTGCTGAGTCAGTGTGGCTCAGATAAGTCATGAGACACGGTGGACCACAGGCCCTGTGTCAGAGCCACTATTCTCCAGGAGCTGTAAGATCCCAGAAATAGGAAATGTCTCCAAGGGAGCTTAATTAGCTGCTCAGCCACATGCTGGGCTTTCATGTGAACTCCTGACCTAAATGAATTTATCTTCCTGCCACCAGCTGTTATGTGAGGAATACATCTCTGGCTCTTACAATACTTCACTAAGGTCATGAGGGATCCAAGAGAGGAGCACATGCAACAGCATCTGGCCCAGGTCCTAAGTCTGGCCATGATGGGACCAAGGAAACCCCTCAGCCTATTTTATTTCCTCTTTTAGGAAAGAATTACTCCATAAATTCCCTCTTCCCAAATAGCTCCTGCTGGTCCCTGATGGGGGTTGTGTGTGGAGCAAGGTGGACTTGCATCCCAGTGCAGAAGTTTGCATGGCATGACCCAGCTCTGCAGCTCCCACTTCTAAAATTGACAAAGAACACAAGGAGGCCTGAAGGGAACATCCAGGTTTTGGGGAAGTTCCCATTTGCCATCCCCCTTACGCTCAGCCACAGATGTTTAACCCATGGCAGAGGTGACAGTGTGGCTACATGAGGACACCAAGAGTGAGACCAGCGATCTGTTGTCAGAAGAAAGCAGGAGTTCATACCCCAGCCGTTACTCACGTTGGCCTGGACCAGGATTTCGTGACTGGAGATTTGAAGGGAAGCTCATCAATGACAGTGTTGTTCCTCAGGTCCAGCGGTGATGGCTTTGCTGGGGAGGGAAAAGCCTTTATGCAGAGGCAGCACATTCCTACAGTTCAGTGTCCAGGACTGGGGTGGGAGGGTCCCCAGCAAACTGTTGGTTGCTTCCTGTTCTTCTAATCACCCCCTCCCAGCTCTCCTTGCTGATGATAAATACCCCCAACCAAAATCCCTTCACTCATGTACAGCAGGACCAGGGGGAAACAGTGAATTTCTCCCTCTGACTCTTAGCCCTGAAGTGGATGGGTGTCCCCAAAAGCAGAATGTGCCTCCCAGGGAATGGAAATCTGCTAAAAATGCCCCAGCTCTGAAGTATAACAAACCCATTCAATTAGGGAGCTGTGATAAGTCATTAGGTGAAGACAAGACCCAGCTCTGACAGCCCCAAGCTGCCTCCAGCCAGAGAATTTCCCCACAGAGAATGAGAAGGACATCTGCAGGGTAACATGGAAGCTCTTCTCATCATGAATGGTTCATTAGATGGAAGAGCAGACTGCTGTGCTCCAGCCCCAGCATCTGCCTAGCATGTTGATGGGGTTAGGTGCTGACACCCTAATGATGGAAGTCGTCCTCAGCATTTCCTTGGTGACCTGTCAGGCAATGGACTGTGGAGGGATCTGGAGAATGTAGGCAAAGCCCTAAGAGAAGAACTGTCTTCAGCCAGCCAGTAGGGAAGAGTAGGAGAAACTGTGGCCATCTGAATACAACATAAAGATTTTGGAGCAGAGCAGAGGCAGGGATGAAGGCAAAGGGGGCGAGATCCTGCCTGTGACATGTGTCTCCTGTGGAGGCCAGGTAGGGTTTGAGACGATAGGCAGTTCAAGCACCACGAAAGCTGCATTTGAAAGAGGAAGGGGATGGGGAAGATCTGTAGGTCTGACTGTGCCAGTGGCAGCAAATCACAGCTCACACTGGACTCTGCTGAGTGTGCACAAGGTGTCAGAGGCAGACCAGAAGAAGAGAAGGGTTCCTGGGAAGACCTGACCACAAATAACTGTTCTTACCTTTCCGGTCGGGCTTGAGGTTGCGGTTGACTGGTGGGGGCTGGATTTCACTCAACCGTCTGTGGCACTGCGCCATGGCTCCTCCTTTATGCACGGGGAGGGTGGCCGAGGACAACCCCACCAGGTCAAAGTGATGTGGCCCAGGGCTCATGGGAATGTACAGGTTTTGGGAATTGTCATTGGCTTTCTCAGTGTGGATCAGGGGCGAGGAACCGGGGTTCATGGGGACGTAGTTGTCCTCAGAGTCGGTGCTGTGGGAGCGGGCCACCGCTGCCTTGGCTTGCTGGGGGACAAGCAGGAGGATGTGTTGTGAGCTTCAGACACCGCTCAACCCCATCCCACTAGAAACCCCTTCATCTCTTCATCACCCAGCGCACACCTGAGGTGGGACCAGCTCTAAAACCTCAGCACAGAGGGAAGGGATGGTCTGTCCCCTCCTTGGCCATTAGTTTGCACTGAGAGGGTCTACATCTACTTTTTCCAAGACAGTGCAACATCCAGAGTTCAGGGGAAGGTCTTAGTTACCCAGACTTGAGCAGCTTCTCATGACCAGAAAGAGCTGCAGAAGCATGCTTAACCTAGAAAGTCATTTTTGCCTGGGCTCTGGCCATGACTAAAATGCAATATGAAAGGCTGCTTTAATGTCATTTCCAGCTCAGGAAATCTTAGAAAGCACACAAAAGAGGCTGTTCTGGCAACAGGTCAAAATTCAGCTCAGCAGCATCCTAAGCTTTGGAGAAGCCAAGCTCCTGGGTGCTTTTTTTTGGGTGACAGCTCCGGGCAGATACACCCTATGGAAGCACTCAAGTAAAGCTCTGCATGCGGTGCTGGCTTAGGTGGTTGTGCCTCTACCTTGCAGACCACCACAATTTTAACAAAAATCAGTAACAAACCCCTTCTGTTCTTGACTTATCTCTGCAGGACTGTGCTGTGAGGTCCCACCTGGAACCGACCTGTCTCGGAACCCATAAGGTGCAAATGGTGCCTATAACACGCTGGCCAACGCCAAGGCCAACTCACCAGGTAGGAGTTGTACCCATCGTTCATCGACTCAACGGACTGCACAGCACTGCCACCTCCATGCTGGGGGTATTCATATGTTTCACAAGAAGAAGCTGCAACACAACCACAAAGGTACAACATGTCCCAGTGCAAATGTTAGTAAAAGTGGACCCTGAAAACAAAATGCAGGTACTGGGAGGGTGGTATCTACTTGTGAGGATTGAAATGCTGGTGGGATGACGTGGTTTGTAGCCCATCACAGACTCCCTCCCAATCGACAACTCTCTGACGCCCCAACTCAACTGCACGTGCCGCATGGACCTAACCCGGTTCTGTCAAAGTGCTGCAAAATCCCAAGGGTGAACCTGTCATGGATGGTAGATCACGGCAAGAAAACTGGGTTAAGGGGGAGCTGTTACAGCTCGCTTGGCAGACGTAAGGGCTGGCAGCCTCTGGTGAGGGGAGGGGATGAGGATGGGGTGCTACCTTCTTAGACTGATCTATTTACTACTGAGCATGAGTCTGATCTCAGCCTAAGTGTTAGCATTTAGTTAGGAGGAGATGGAAGAGGCACTTCAGGGAACTGTGTGTATATTTTACACTATGTTTTCTCTCCAATCACCTCTTCTAAGTTACTTTACAACTATCTCATTCTAGGCTCAAGATTTGGAAAGGGCAAGCTCATCCACAGCCCACCCATGGCCCATGGAAGGGCACCTCTTCTGCTCTGGGGCTATCGGGTCTTGGAGAAGTGCAAAATTATGTGCCTATCTGGTAAGCAAAACCAAGGTAGCTCCAGGCTGACAAGCATTCTGATAACTCTGGTTATGAAGTGAATCAAAAGCAAGCTAAAAATAGCCAAAATAAAATCTGGTGAAGGGCCACACAGGCAAGCAGGTTTGGGGTTTTGGTTCAAGGCACAGAACAGTAAAGAGCCAGTCGAGCACCTTGAGTGGACAGAGCCCTGGAGATGTTTCTCCATGCCCATTGCATACAAAATCAGGGCCAGATCCTCAGCAGGGAGGCCTTCTTTGCATTCAACTCCCTGTCTGAATCCACCAACCATCCCAGTCCTACCAGAACCCTACAGGACCACCCCACGCAAGGCTGCTAGACAGGCCAAAGCCACCCCCTGCGCCTCATTCCTAAAATCACCTCGGTGCAGCCTGCTGTTCTCCACTGCTGGCAGGGTGTTTCTCCGGGGAATGGTGGCTGCCATGGGGGCCAGCCCTAAGCTTTCACTGGGCTGGGACCTCTGGGGTGGGCTGCCCCAGCGCGGCTCCACCTGCCCGGGTTTTGGGGGTCGGGGGGGTGGCGCGGCGGGCGAGTC